AAATGGTCCTAGTCACTTTTAATGGTCCTTTGAAGAAATGTGAGGGGGTTGGGTTTACGTCTCAAGAAAAGATAGAGCTGCATTACATGGTTTGGGAAGTGAGGGACATAGTCTGAGGTGTGGATTGATGGTTGACTCCGCTAGTGCATGGCATGTGGATTGTCTTTGCATTATCATGTGCATGTCTGTTTTGTTCGTGGGTTTTGGATTGAATCTGGGTTTGACATCGTGAAGAGTCCTGGGCACACAACACTTGTGACAGTGGAAAGGGTTCTCGGCGGTAATACTCTCATACTCTTTATGGTCTTATATAAATCCTGTGCTATTTGTTAACAGTTGTGACATAATCTGTTCAGTAGGATAGAGAGTCTTAGCAGCTAGGAAAGTCGGGCAGGTTCGATCATCAAAAAAAAAATTAGAGCGGAAATAAACTACCATTAAAAAGTTCGACCTGAAATACGTAGCGGGTCAGTTCTAGGTGTCTTACTGCGAGTACCCCATTTAGTGCTACAGTGATCGAGCAAACGCCCTCGAACGACCTACCTCTACTTAGGCATGTAAAAACCTTCACACGTGGGTCGATAGCTCAGCAGGGATACGCCTACCTGAGGGTGGTGACAGCCCCTCGGGTAGAGGTAAGTTGTACCTCGCGACGTCCCGGCCTGTCGCAGGGGGTCGTGAGAGGTATAACACGCGCGCACTGTTGGAGTGGTGACAAGTTGTTACTTCAAAAATAAATCCTGCATGACACGACCGTGAGGTTCAACGCTCCCAGCGGGGTGCGAGACCGCCGCGCGCGACAAGTGGCGCCGTTGCCGGGGATCTCGCTTTCCAGCTGAGGTCCTTAGTGAACGAACTCGGGTGTGGTAAGTCGATGATCTAGGCAAAATGATAAAGATAAAGGTTAGTAGATAAGATAGTAGTATTAGTGAGTATCGACGAGGACAAAAGGGTTATTTTTAAGTAGGGAGATAAAACTCTGAGAAAAAGTCGAAATTATCTGTATCTTTAAATATGACTTCTAAGGGTCGTGGGATTGGCACCGGAAGAGGAAGAGGTGGAAGGCTAGGAAAGGCTGTCGATAGAGCCATAGACTTGACCAAGGAACGAGGTGACTGGGAGGAAGAGTATGATGAAGAACTAGAAAAGCAAGAGGAAGGGTTAAGGGCGCGTAAACATAAAGAAGAATGGCGTGAACGCACTTCGTCGCTAGGAAAAATGACTTACTATACTTATAAGTATGAGAGGCGTTATGGTTCATCTCCACCTCGTTTTGAGCCACCTAGCCGGCCCCGATTTGGACATTATACACCACCATTTTCCTCGGCTCCAGAAAGGCAGTTGACAATCCTTCCTCAGTCGCGCTTATCGACATCACAACATGCGCCGCATGTTCCGGATCCTCCTGTTGTTTCCCAACCTACAACATATGATAGAAGGTTGTGTATTTCGCTTTTGTTATTTCTGATATGTCAACTAGAAATTTGTGGACTAGTGTCCTACTTGTTATATAAAAAGATTATATAAGGATTAGGGATTGGAATAGTACAACAAATAAAAGAAGGTCAGTGAAGCCTTGTTAGATGAGGAGAAACTGAGTGTTGGACCATAGGACACGTCTACGGAAATGAAATGATCAGTGCTCTAACATTTCAAAGACGGGTGAAGGATGGTTTTAAGCATGTCAAAGCAGCAAGGAGTGAATAAGAAAATATGGGTTTGATCAAGACAAGGGGAGTAATCAACTTATTCTCACAGACTAACTCTCACGGCTAGGCAAACTAAGATTTTCCGTTGGAATAAGGCAATAAATCCTCTTTTAGTTCAACACTTTCAAAACTAAGGAGAGATCAGTATAGGTTAGATTGCAGTAAGAGAGTACTAGATAGTGAACTAAAGATAAGGTTCTTTCTTTTGCGTATTATGTAAACAGGGCACCAGATGGCTCTGGAAATGTGGTTCGCTGCTGAGTTTTATCCGATTAACTTACCTCAGCAGAAAGGCAAAGGGATAGAAATGACACTACCCCGAAGGAAGAGGGAAGAGGGCGAAGGTATGGACACATGGTGTGGAATTTCGATAGGGCCAGAAACCTTTATATGGGTTAAAACTGGAAAGACTACAAAAGGAAGATGTGCAATAATAAGAGTGACCCTCTACCTATCTGCACTTTTTTGGAAGACGCTTTCAATTGACCTCGCGATAGAAAAAAAACGTTATCTTTCCAAATATATTATGACTGCTGGATCAGTACTCGAAGAGTTTTCTCGGAAAGTGAATAGGGGAAAAGAAGGAATGATCTTGCGCTCAATTGAAGCAAAGTGGGCAGAAGATTTCGTCTATCCGACTATAAATGTCAAAACAACTCTTCCTAAAGTCATAATCGACGAAGCCTTCTCAGGAGTAGAGAATGTAGAGAGGGCCGTACTCGCGGCACGATCGGTACCAAAAAGGGGCTTTGAGTTTAAAGCGTCTGATATCATGTACTGTCTATACTTGGAAATGAGACCGAAACTAGCAAAAAGGGATTTCTATGATGTCTTATGCATTGTGAATGCATATCTACAGAGTTATTGGCTGGACGATCGTATGACATATTGGAAGAAGCTCCGTAAGGTAGTCTGAATTGGAACTTTTATAGACAATATTCCTTCTTTTTTTGGCATGATCAGAGGATTTTGGTACGGAGATCGGGGGCCCTCGGACAGACTGGACAAATGAGCAAAATCCAAAAACAGGAAATGTGTCAAGGAATGTTTTGGGTATCAGAAGGGGAATCTAAAGAAAGCATGTAATGGCGGGGACCATGGAAGAAGACCACTGTCTCCGATAGTATTCCGGATTTTACCCTGACTTTCTTCTCCTCATATCAAAGGGGTATCTAATAGGGGCACGATGTCTTATGAGTTGGTAATTAGGTTTGTATAAGATATTGAGAAAGAGTGATGGTAAGTATAATGATAAGCATTAAGGATCATTGGCTGAGCGAGGAGGATGTTTAATTAATAGGAAGTTCACATACAATCGTATAAGGAAGCGGACAGTTTAAACAGAAGGGAATAGATTGTCAATCTCACACTTAGAAGCACTGATTTTCTTTCTTCTAACAAGGTACCAAGAAAACAGCCAAGATGTCATATGTCGTTCAGAGGTTCGAAGTTGAATTACATATTCGCACACCTCAGGGACTGAAGATATCATTACCACTGGGATGGACTGAAAGGGAAGAAGAAATTACTTCTTGGTGTGGCATCTCTATTGGTCCGAAGACATTTGTATAGGTCGAGACTGGACATACCTTAGATCGGGAGAATGTAATAGTATGAGCCACCTTGTATCTTTCAGCACATCTATGGAGGATGCATGGTGTAGATTTGGCAATGGGAAACATTCAACCCATATGTCAGTATGTCCAAATGACAGAGGCTGTTTTAAACGAGAAAGTCCGAGAAGCAAGTTGGGGAGAACTTCGACCCATTATATCTACAACAGACACAAAATGGGCATCAAATTTCTCCTATCCCACCGAGTACGTCCAAGCAGATCTCCCAGACTTCATCATTGATGAAGCTTTCAAAGGGCAAGCTAATGTTGAGCAAGCGGCGTTGGCCGTCTTGGCCATTCCGCAGACCGGATATGCTTTCTCTACGCCCCAGACTCTCTATCGTTTATATCTCGCAATGGGATCAGGATTGGCAGATAGAGAGTTTGAGGAGATACTGTCTATAGTTGATGCTTATGTCCGGGTAGATTTTACAGAGCCTAGAAAGACCTTCTGGAAAAAACTCAAGGCTGAAATGAAGATTAAAATACGCATCAACGGTCTCCCCATAATGTTTGGGATAATGTACGATTTGTGGTCTGGGAATTGGGTGTCAATCGAGGAAGTCGAAAGACTGGAATGATGGAGAATCAGAAGTTGTGAATCTAATTTAAGTAGGGGGGGGAGTATTCCAAAAAAGGACATTAATAAGTCGGTACTATAAGCAAAGACAAAAATTTGAAAACAATTCAGGGACTTGTTGTTTTCTTTCATGTGATAACAGATCAACCAAAGGTTGAGGAAAGATGGAGGATGGCGTTGGACAAGGGTCCATCACTGCAGCAGACATCGCTAAGTTACTGGATAATAGAAACATCAGGCGGTCGCAATTACCCCGAATATAAATCTTTTCGTTCAAAGGAGAAAGGGTCTCGCACTGGCTAGAGTTGTTAGAGCAGGTCTCCAATCGTTTAACCCCAGCTGAGAAATTCGCTCAGTTATATGAATATGTATGGTGGGAGCTTCGTCCGGATGTGGAAAGGATTGTAACCGATGCCCAGGGGAACTAGGACGACGTCAAAAAAGAAACGCAGAGGAAATACAAATTAGGAGATGAGTTGTTGACCATAGACGAGCTTCACAACGTTAGCCGAAGTGACTTTACTACAATAGGGGCCTTTGCAACGACTTTTGAAAAGATGGCTGCGAGAGTTCCAGGGCTTTCCGAAGAAATGCAGTGTGTAATCTTCCTCGGAAAGTTCTCCGGATATGAAGCAATGKAAYTGACCYGAGGTGGAGCCCCAGGGAAGAAGACATCATGGGCAACAATAAAGAGGAACCTGGCATCCGRAGATYTGGATCARGTATTCCACCATCAAGTGAARATRGAAAGGAAGAAGAGAAAGGAAGTAGGAGTCATCCAAGGGGCTGACTCAGCCTTAGGAGGAATATTAAGCAGTATGGCAACTCAGCTGAAAGAATTGAGAGATAAAGTTGACTCAGGATCTGTAATGGTGGTGGGTCAGGCAGCAAGTAAGAGGAATTATGGAGAAGGAGAAGAAAAGAAAGGAGGGAAAAAGTATGAGACAGTAACCCAACCAAAGAAGGCACAGAGGTAAAATCGCAATTAAGCAACGGGAGGACAGGGAACCGGCAGAGGACAGATTGGTCGTGGAAAGCAAAACCAAGGATCTCTAAAGGGACCTTAGCCGGTTGCGGTACCGGTAGGAGCTTGGCAAGGGTACTTCCAAGAGAATCAATGGTCAGGGTATGAACCAAATATGCCTCACGTGCAGGAAGCCGGGCCTTCACAGGGTCGAGATGGAGATCAACCTCAGCACGCGTCGCCAGAAAACCAAGGGCAGCAGCAGTTTCAGGGGCAAGGACACGGATAAGGACAAAGTAGAAATAAGAACAGGGGAAGAGGAAATGGTCAGGGAGACTGAGGATACGGAGGAAGAGGAAACGGGGGATAAGGAGGAAGCTGGGGCAATCAAAGAGCCCCTCAACAAGAAAATTATAACCAAACGAACTTCAACCAAATCGGCCAAGGTTTCAATCAAGGCTATAACCAGGGTTATGGCCAAGGTTATAACCAGAACTACGGTAGGGGTTTTGGCAGAAGTGATAGGCAGTGGAACGGTCAGGGATTTTGAAGAGGATGAATTGATTACAGTGAGTGTATATGCACCCACTGTACAATCAGATAACACACTGTAAAAATGTGTCATGTCAGGAAAATGGATGAAGATGATGGATTAATTACGTCAAGCATAGATGGAGATGTATTCGACAAGACAGGAAGGTAGATAGACCCAAACATTCCGGGAGGCACTAGAAAGGAAGCACTCAGGGTTGCGGGACTTGGACCCAGTGCGCCAGCCATGTTTCGCATATGGAAGGAGAAAGATGACCCGTTTGTTTGGGTAGAGGAGATTGATGAGTTGAGTAATCAGCTAGGGAAAGGGATGAGAATAAGTGAGGAAAAAGAAGATGTCCCGCTGATTGAGATTGAGCCAGAAAAAGACAATGAGGTAACAGAGTCATCAAAGGAAGTTATGGGAAGGATGGAAGACCTGGTGGATAAGATGAGAAGGTTAAATACAAGAATGACAGACATTTGTAGAGAAGTTAAAGACTTGGAAATTAGCATTCCGCATGTATTCACCATGGGAGAGGAAAAAGAAGCTTCCGAGCCAAAAACACACAATGCCAGAGCCGTGAGGGCGACTGAAGCCCAACAGGCTTTCACCATGAGTCGAGAAGGTTCCGAGTCAAGGACGTCCAACGCCAGAGCAGTGCGTGCAACTCTGACCGCTGGATCAGATGCAGCTTACCAGGCACTAAGGAATTATACTTCCCATACCGCACGAAAACCAAAAGGGGGTAATACGTCCAAGGAACCAGCTCAGGCTTCTTTGCCACCTCAGGCAAAAACCTCAATCGATATAGGAGAAGATGAGGAGGATCAGGATGAGGTGCTTAGAGGAGAAGAGAACCAACGCGCAGAGCAGAGGGCCAAAAAACGTAAGACTAATGATGGAAAAGAGAAGGTTGGGGAGAAGTCGAAGAAGAAGTGGAGGTACCAAACCTCAATTGAAGAAGGTGTGAATCTTGATAATTTAGTAAATAAACTTCTCGAGGGACACAATGAGTTGCTAAACCTGAAAGAGATTTTGGCAACAACGTCAAAACTCAGAGAGTTGGTCAACGTTAAGCTGGCAAGGAAAAGAGTGGCAACAGTTAGGCTTGGAGACTTGATCCCCAGAGAAACCAACTGGACGATTGCTGGCAGCAAAATGGACTGGAAGTCAGTAGGATCAGGGTCCATTGATGTTAACATCAGGGGAAAGGATTGTCCAGGAATGGTGGATACAGGAGTAGAGATGAACATCATGAACTCGGAAACAACTGAAAAACTGGGACTGAAGATTAACAAGAGAGACTGTGGATACCTTAATGGGGCAAGTGGAAAGTCAGGATATACTGGCATAGCATCAAATGTGATGGTGGAAGTTGGGCGAGTAAAAGTTCGTTCTTGCTTTTATATCATGACCGACTTGGATCTTCCTATATTACTAGGAAGGTTATTTTTATCGCGCTCGGAGGCTCTCATCATGAACAAGCATGATGGGACCATGTTTGTGATTCTATGTGACCCAGCGTGCGAGAACTTTGAGGTCATCACCTGTAAGAATACGGGTCCTCATTGCTCAAAGAACCTCCTAAATGCGGGACCATATACCTTTGAGGAGTCAGAGGAAAGGAGGAAAGAGTTGGAGTGGGGGTCTGATAAGGAAGATGAAGGAGAGAAGGATGAAGGATTAACTTTAAGCTTGGCAAACATTGACCAAGCTATGTATATGGTCTCCGCTTATGAGATGGCGGAACCAGAAGCAATCAAAGTTTTGACAGACAAGTTATATGATTACCCTGAGGGAGGAAAGTCGGAACTGGTTTACAAGCCGCCATCCACACAAGAAACCAGAATGCAGGGGCCGTATGCTCAAGCAAGCGGTCAACATTTTTTAGGGGTGGGCTCAAACAAGGAAGCAAAAGGAGGTACAAGACAGTAGATAAGAAGAGTCACCCAGTTCCAGTTCTAGTAACACACGAGGAGGGTGTGTACTACGAGCAAGAGAGGGAACTGATAGGGCAGATGAAAGAGAGATGGGATGAGGAGAGTTGGAGAATCAATGAAGAGACAAAGGAAGATTTGATTATTGGGGAACCGGGTTTTCTGACAGAGCAGGAGAAGGCGTTGGTAGTAGGGTTGATGGAGGAAAAGCATCGCACCTATGCCTTCAATGATGAGGGTAGGAATGATCCGAATCCACACAGTCCCGCACCAACCATGAAATGTTAGAGGAGCCAGATACCCAAACCCCGATGATCAAAGAAGAGTAGTGGAGTAACTGGATGGGAAGATTGCATCGCATGTGGCAGGGTACTCTAGCGGACCATACGCATCACCATGGTTCTGTTTTATTAAGCCAAACGGAGTGCTTGGATGAGTGCAGGATTTGCAAAAATTGAACGCTGTAACAGTTAGGGATGCTGGTGGGCTTCCTAACGCAGATCAGATCTCTGAGGCATGCGCAGGAAAGGCTATTATTTCGCTCATAGATCTGTATTCTGGTTACGATCAGTTTCCAGTCTATCCGGCTGATAGGCCAATCACTGCAATGCACACTCCAAGAGGGTTGATTCATATGAACGTGGCACCCAGGGATGGACAAACGCAGTAGCCATGGTGCAGAGGAGTATGGTAAGAGTCATGCAACCGATCAGTACGCACATTACTGAGCCCTATATTGATGACCTTGCGGGAAAAGGATCAATGGAGAAAGATGAGCAAGAGGTTGCACCTGGCATAAGAAAGTTTGTCTGGGATCATGTCAACGATCTCAGAAAAGTACTTGACTTGTTACAAGAGTACAACCTCACGGTCAGTGGACCAGAATCCAAACACTGAATGAAGGAAGCCACCATTTTGGGTTTCCTGTGCAATGAAACAGAACGTCGTCCAGACACCAAGAAAACAAATAAGATCCTTGAATGACCTACGCCATTCAGGAACGTCAGTGAAGTGAGATGTTTTCTTGGAACGTGTGGGTTCTGGAGAGTGTTCATTGAAAGGTTTGCCTCTAAGATAGAACATGTGAGGAAGTTGGTAAAGAAGAATCAAGAATGGGAATGGGGAGAGAAGTAGGAACAGGTGGTAAAGGACTTACAGAAGGAGTTTGAGGAAGGGGGTCTTGTGCTGGGTGTTCCAGACTATGATGTCATTATTGAACAACCCTTCATCATAGAAACCGACGCTGGACCAACAACCCTGGGAGGGGTTCTGATACAGGCTGATTCTGAAGGAAAGGAAAGACCATTGCGATTTGAGAGTCGAACCCTCAACACTACTGAAAGGAACTACTCTCAGTTCAAGAGAGAGGCCTTGGCAGTGTTCCACTGCTTGCGCATCTTCAGGCATTACCTCTACGGAAGGAGGTTTGTTTTGAGGATAGATCCAACAACGCTTATGTATTCTCTCAAGAACTTCACGCCTACTGATCCCACGATCGCCAGATGGCTCACGTACATCTGGATGTTTGACTTTCAGCTGGAACGTATCCCAGGAAGTAAAAACAGGGCCGATGGTTTGAGTAGGATAGAATGGGAGAAGCCTGGAGAGTCCAAAGAAGAAGCACCACTGGTAGATGGATTTTTGGACGAAGACGATGTGCAGCTCCATGTGAACTCATGGAAGCTAAGTGTTAACGATAAGGAGGCCAGGAGAGGGAAACCCATGTGGTTTGCGCCAGCAACCTTCGCGAAAATCGAAGAGTTAGTGTTGAAACCTTTCGTTGAGGAGGACTCATGGGGAGAAAGGAACGGAGAGTGGATGGCTGAACTAGCCTTGGCAGAGACTTACCGTCTGACAGACGATCCGGTAACAATTGAGGCTAGAGTGAGACAAGTTGATCAACACTTGCTGACAATGGGGAGAGTACATTACCTTGTTAACTCTCTTCTACAGGTCCAGGCAGAGGATGGCGAGGAAGTGGTAAAGCCAGATGAGATAGTATTGGGAGATGACTACGAGTTCAGTGAGGAATTGGAGGGAGAAGAGTTTGAGCAAGGTGAAGTCTCGGAAGATTTTCGAAAAGAGGAGTATGACGGGTTCCACTTAGAGACGAGACTTCTTCTCTCAGGGGACAAGAGAGAAAAAGAGGTTAGTAAAAAGATCCTCCGCATGAGAGATCACTATATAGTACGAGGAGGACACATTTTTATCAGAGATAAACGTGGGCCTCCTAGGAGGATCATTTGTGGCAGAAATCATCAAATTGACGTCATAGCAGCTCTCCATGATGGGTCAGTAGGTGGTCACAGAGGCTTCGCCGCCACAGTCAAGAAGATATCTGAGTTGTACTTCTGAGAAGGAATGTATGGGATGATCCGGACTTACTGCGAATCTTGTGTACCATGCCAAATCAGATCACCAATCAGGAACAAGAAGCCTTTACATCCAAGGTACATTAAAGATATAGGGGCAGTGATCCACATGGATCTTTTGGCAATGCCGCAAGGGATTGAGGGATATAACTATATCTTTGATGCTAGGGATAACCTTACAGGGTTTGTTGATGGGAAAGCCATTCGAACCAAGACTGGGGCAGTTTTGGCTGATTGTATCGAAGAATATTACCTCTGATACCCTTTCATGGTGGAATTCACAATGGACAGAGGATCTGAGTTTACATGAGGGGGAAGGTAAAAGAACTTTTGGATGATCTCGGGGTCATTGCCAGATACACGACCAGGGCACACCCTCAGGCGAATGCACCAGTAGAGAGAGGGCATAGCACCATCACTAATCTGCTGGCTTAGTGGACTGCTGGGAAGCCTAACTTATGGCCTAAGTTCCTACGGACGGTGTTTTTTTTTGTAAAATATCACGGTCAAGAGGACCACAGGATATGCTCCTGCGACTTTGTGGTATGGAAGACATGCCACCTTTCCAATAGAGAGTTTTCTAAAAGCAAGATCTGGAAAATGACCTATCCCTAGAGGAATTACTGGATATCCGAGCAAGGCAAGTCAGCATCACAGAAGATAGAATCCAAGAAGCGGCAGACAGCCGAGGGAAGGACAAAGAGAGATGGGATAAACTCCCACGTGTAAGAGAAGAACCATTGAAAATTAGAGACATAGTGTTGCTTTACGACTCGTCTCTGGAAAAACAATGGTCAAGAAAGTTGGACAAAAGGTGGCTGGGACCCTACAAGGTCAGGCGTCGAGGAAATTATGGAGCCTACGAGGTGGAAGAAATGGATGGGACACCAAGGAATGACTGGATCTCTCGGTCCAGGCTGAAGAAATTCAAGCTAAGACCGGAGGTGAGTTGATTCAAAAAGTTGTTATCTTTTGAAGTCCTTTTTGTAAAAAAATATTTTTCCTTGCAAAATATTATATTGTTAACCATCGGCTGACTCATCGTCCTACCTGTCCCTCCAAATCTCTTTTTTTCTGTGTGCAGGCTTGACCTTAAGGGAGCAGTTGCCATGTCGCAAAAGGGAGGGATGGTGGGTCTTACCAGGTCTATTCCTGGAGAGGAAGAACGATTGAGGCATCCAGTGGTAACAAGAGACTCTGCGGGAATGTCGGTTTACAAGAAAGGGGATAACCTGAGACAATTTTTGAGGGAGTATGAAAATCACACTTTCATCAGAGAGTGGGATGTGTCCACCATGATGAAAAATGTGACTGGAATGGGATAATGCAGAAAGGCAATAGAGGAAATGACCATGAGAGTTTTTTGATGGCAGAGCTTCAAAGTAGCTATATGGGCCAAGTATACAGATTTGAGAAGAGATGAAATAGAAGATAACATCACTTTCGACGGAACAAATTTGGAGGATTTCGAGGATAGCATCGGTCTCTGTGCAGAAATGAACAGGTGGGATGATGAGGAAAAATTGGAGCAGGCCGCGATCAGGGTAACACCAAGGGAACGCGAGACTGTCAGAAAGATCAGAGAAGGGTCAGATACCTGGGGTGACTTTCTTGTTGAGATGAGAAAGGCCTATCCTCTGAGCGTACAGAGGCAGAAGAAGAGACAGTTGTTCCAGAAGCAAGGGGTGTGGATTGGAAGAAGGAAAAAAGGGTTGGAAAGGGCACAACGGAAAAATGGGAATGAGGCACCCCCTCGACAGGGAGAGGGAAAATTGTCCGTAACATGGAGAGACCTGATGTGCAGGGGAAGGAAAGGCGTATAGCCAGGAAGGAAGAAGGACAGGACAAATCTCCCGAAGAAAAGGAAGAGGAAGGAGAAGAAAAGAGAAAGCAGAAGAGAAAGGGAAAGATGGAGGAGGCAGGACCATCAGTGAGAGCAGAAGCAACATCCTCCATGGAGCCTCTAAAAGATCATGGGACGAGGAGGTTAACTGAGGAAGAAAGGGAGAGAAAGGAGGATGAGAACAGGGAGTGGAGGAACCACGCCGTGATTCACCTAAGGGAAAATGAGCCGCCCATGAACGCTCCCTGGAAAGTGAGGATTGAAGATATAGTTTTGTCTGAGGCTGTGGCCAGCTCAAAACTAGTCTCAAATGTGGACAGGCTAATTAAGCTCAATAAAATGATCATAGAGGATTGTAAGTGACTTCTTGAAGAAGAAGCTGATGTGGTCGAAAAGTTGGGGAAAGTGGAAGAAGGAAGGAGAAGGGAAGAAAGAGAAAAGGATTTGAAATCCTCGATGCAAAAACTTCATTACAGGGTAAAGGAAAAGGAGGAGTTGCTCACGCAAGGAGTAGCCAGTGAAATCCCTGAGATCCTGAAAGAGATTCTGAGGCTAAGGGCGAGAGAAGAAAAAAGGGATTCACAACTGACTGAGTTGGGGAAGGAAGTGGAGAATTTGAAGGGCGAAGTGGAGAAGGGAAAAATTGAGCAGAAGAAGCTGGAGTTAAAGGTGAAAGCCCTAAAAATCGTTCATGATACTAAGAGTCCGGAAATGGAAACAGAAAGGGAGAAGCTGGAGAAGGAAGTGGAAGGGCTGAAAGTAAAAGTCAGTGAGCAAAATAAGACGATTGAGTCTGGAAAAAAAAAAGAGGAAAGAAAAGAGTGAAAAGTGGGAGAAAAAGTGGAAGAAGATGGAAGAAGCCATGAAAGACTCCAAGGTGAGTATCCAGGCAAAGAAGGAGACAGAAAACATCCAGGGACTTGAAGAAAAAGAAGGGAAATTGATAGAAAGGGAAGAAGGATTGAAAGATGAAAAGGAAGTGCAGGAAGGGAACAGAAGTCTTACTCTGTCCAAGTTAAATGATGGAAAAGGACAAAAGAGATCATATCTGGAGGTATTGGCTTCAGGAGGGGGAGATGGAGAAATTGGGGAAACTTCTCTTGACCCTTAGTGGGCAACAAAAAGAACAAGGGGAGAAGAGAAGCGATTATGTTGGTATTGCATGAAAGGTGCCCACAGAAGGGAAAAATGTCCTGGCTTCCAGGAAGACAGGGACAAAGGATTGGTTAGTCTTGATGGGAGTGACAGACTTATTGACAGAGAAGGTAACTTGATCAAGAAAGGTAAGAAGGGATTCAGAGTACAGTTGTACGAGCAGTTGGGGCTTACTTTAGGAATTTAGAGTAAGACATTACCAGTCTTTTAGGTTGAGATCTTATATCTTTTTGACATTGTATAATAGTAGGAGAAAGGATTAAAGTGAGTGAGCTACTTACTCAAGTACAATTCTAGGTAAGGTGTGTAGATACAGGTTGGATACTCTGTTTGTTTCTTGACTATTAACATTAGGAGAAGACTGACTGGATCGACATTCTGTATTTTAGAAAGTGAAACCGGTGGTTCTGTAATTTATACGTATAAGTTTTTCTTAATTGGTCTACGAGATGTACCGCCAGAATTACATTTTCACTTTCACACTTGCGTTTTGTCCAGTATCTGGTCATGCATGTTGAATTTGCATACAAACTGTGTCATCAAAAATCTTGAACTATGATGCTCAGAAAAACACCTAAGTGTTCAAGAAAATGATGAGTGATATATTGGTTTATACATCTTGAGAATGCCTTGCTGTAAATGTCAATCTCTTCATGTTTTGTCTTATTTAACTATTTCCAAAAAAAAAAAAAAAAAAAAAAAAAAAGGGATGTGAGAAAGTCGATAATTTTTGTTTTGATGCATCCGAAAATCCCTGCGAGTCAGGGAGATATATGTTATGAATGGAATAAATGTTTCTTTTGCCTTCTGACAAGACAAGGAGTCAAACAAATGTTTTTTATACTTTTTATGGATATTTTGGTTGACTTTCCTCTTGGTTAAAAGATCCCCGAGACGTGTGTCTATCCAGCCTGTGATCGAGGTCTGGGAGAGATGACCCCTAAGTGGCTCTGACGGTGCCCCTCGTTCAGAAACGGATATAATAATATTTACATCATTCTTATCAATGACATTATTTTCTTTCCAATAATGGGATCGATCGCCCATTTGAAAGATGGCTGACGAGGGTGAAAAAAAAAAAAAATTTGACAAATTGTTTTTTATATATATTTGAAAAGATCATCGATCATCCACTTCAGGTGGTCAGTCTGAGGGACTAAGAGTCACCAAGACTATGGTGGAAAATTCTCATCGTTGGGACGTAACTCCCAGCGTGGGTTGCTGACCAAGTATAACCAGGTAGCGGGTCTTCCGATTACGGCCTAGAACTTGGAACCTGAAGGGAGACCCTCCCTAATGAGGGAATCGGTTCAGGTAGATATCAGCGGGATCAAAAGTCAGGTTTAGATATTATAATAGGAGGATTTTAACCTGTATTGCGTAACCTATACAGGTACCACCGTTAGAATAATAACATGTTGGGCTGCAGATCCCGCCTGATCAACCACGTTGGGCCGCAGATCCGGCCTGATCAACCGACTGTGGTGGGTTGAGGCCAAGGTCGCCGATCCCCTTGCATTAGACTTTGAGTGGGACGGTAAGATGACTTAGGTTGAAATCCGTGTCCAAATGATTGGGTTCAAACATGATCTCTAACTCAGAGGACACCCAACGAGATCCTGGTTAATAAAGTCTAAAGTTGAGGGGGGAGGCTATCACTATCTTCCTTGGTGACCTCTGTAACTGTAGTACAAATCCAGTATCCCCACTTTGAGTCGTATGGAGTGATAATTTTTTGGTATTGCAATTGTTGGTATGTGGGAGACCCAGGTTGAAATCCTGGCAGTATGGACGCACCAAGGGAGATAGTGAGGGTCTTCAAACCGCAACTTCGGCCAAAAAATCGGATTTAAACAACTTGTCGCATCAGACGGCCTTTGTTTGCATATAGATTCTCCAGCGACGGGGATGTCGCTTAATGGGGTATGGGAAGACTGTCGGAGCTGATACCCTTACAAGGGTATCCTCTCATGATATTGCAGTCGACACAATGCCGATACCAACTGTTAGAACAGAGACGGCTAAAAGCAGAAACTGGGGTAAACCCCTCGACCATTATGGTCATGAAAGTTAGAAACCGCAAAGGCCAAAACACGGCACACGCGGACAAGAGTCAGGGGTTGAAAATTTCGAATGCTCGCAGAGCGTGCGAAAACGACAGAGGTTAGTAGATGAAATGACCGAGCACGCCATTCCGACACGGACGGAGACTGCAAAATGATTAGTAAATGTAACCTCCGACCACAAGATCGGAAGGTTAGTCAAAATGGAAAAAAATCACGCAGGACGCAATGACGGTTTTTCTCAGTCAGTTGACGACTGGGGAAGCATGACCATTTGAGTTCAAGTCCGCAGAAGTCAAGTATATCGGAAAGCGGGGCGGGAAACCACTCCCCGCGGAATAGAATAAAGGTAAAAATTAGTAAAAGCCCCGACCATGTGGTCGGGGCAACTAGATAAAAGGGGCCTAGCCTGCTGTAACAGGTTGCGATGTCCAACGGTGACCTAGATTTCCTTTATGGTAGGCCGCAGGCCTTATGAGCTGACGGGACTGAGCCTTGTACTCTACTTAGGGCAGGTTGACTCTTAGTAGAACTGAACAAAGAGATGGCCTAGTAGGTACAGGCATTAATTGATACGCAGAAGATCTCGGGATCGAGTCCGACCTGCCTCTGGGCTAGCTCCTTTTGCTAGCTATAGGGGGCGGGGCCTGCTTTTTTCACCCGCCCTCAAGCGGGTGGGATTCGAAACCGCGACCTTAGGATTGAGGTAAGAAACAGTTAGACCCCGCCGTAACAGTTGGCACGACGGGGTGTTTGTAGTTAGATTTCGTTTCTCTTTGGTAGATTTTCTTTTTCCTTTTTTTTTCTTCTTATTATTATATTTTTTTCCGTTGGTTGCTATCGAAATGAACCCGCCTCTGAATCGGGGAAGGTTCAACGTAGGAAGATGGTAACAAATCAGGCATAGGTTATCGGTCGCTCCGATCGCAGTACCCAGAAGCCGAGGAGCACGGCGCGACATTGAACAAGCCCGGTTCTAAAGGGAGAAAGAGAGGAGAAGGGAGTAAGAGGGAGAAAGGGAGAAAAAAAGCTACCGGAGCGCCTCGGCTCACCGTTGTACAGACTCGACGGAGTTAGTGCCACGGAGTGGGCAGAAGGGAGGAGATGTGAGAGGAAGAAAAAGAAAAAGAAAGGGTGGAGAGTGGCGCGAGAAAAGAGGGAGGTGCAGGCTAGCAGGCAAGAGTTTAAGAAAGGCACGGCCAGGCGCACAGGATATGCCGGTGCGATCGGAAGTACGGGCGCAACAACGGAGAGGATAGCAGGGAGCTTGAGTAAGGCTGCGAGAAGAGAGGCGCGAGAAGGAGAAAGAAGGAGAGGAAGGAGAAAGAAGGAGAAGAAAAAGGGGAAGGAGAATGAAGGAGAGGAGAGGAAGGAGGAAGGAAGACTTACCTCCTGGCCAATGATATCCATGTCCCGCATGAGGGCATTCATACTTTGAGTTTGGAGTACGGGGGCGATCCGAAGACGACGTCGAGCCACTACAAGTTACTGCAACGAAGGAGCGGGAGAAAGGACTTGTAAGTTTCATCTTACGGCTAAGATCGTGATACTTCTGCAAAAAGGAAGGGCAAAAACAAACGAATCTCTCACGCGGCTTCTATTGGTAGAATGAGTAAAGTCGAGTAAAACTACAACTAACGAAATCTAATGAATCTGACGCTAAATCATAGAAGTATGCACTACCGCTATGTGTGTGTGTACGTATATGTGTGTGTGTGTGTGTGTGAGAGAGAGAGAGATTAAGAGAGAATCTTACCTGGGCACGCGCACGTAACACTGACGAAACCGACAAGTTACTTACCCGGGTTGAGAGGCCCGGGTAACCTTCTTAAGGCTCATCGTGATGGAGATAGATTGTTGATGTTCTGGGCCGCACGTGTCCTACACTGATGAGCCCACTGGCAGACATACTTGTATGGAAGCAGGAAAATAGCAAGTATATATATATTCATTATATTCTTCTTATTATTTTAATATTACTGTTTATTTACGATCGTTCCTTCCCCCCCCCCTCTTCTTTTCTCCTGCAAAACATGTCTGCCCCGGATTGCGGACGGATCCATTGAGAGGAAGGACATTTGTGGGGGATCGAGATGAATGAGCAAGGTGGAGGAAAGAGATGGTCATGGAGGTGGTGAGGAGATCAAGAAGATGGAGAGGAGGAGCGAAAACGGATGAATCTCCCGCTACAACGTGGGAATATACGCTGCCATTCGCACCAGACCACTGTCGCGATTTCGCCAGGCTCGCCTACGAGGTTGTCAAGTGTGTGTGTGTGTGTGTGTGTGTGAGTGAGTGATCGTGTGTGATTGTAGATCCCCCAGCTTCTCCTTGGTGCTTTCATCGATAGGATGATCAAAATCGTATGAATCTACCACGGGATCATGGGAATAAGCTACTACTGCTTGCGTGTGTGTGTGTGTGTGGTAGAGAGAGAGAGAGAGAGAGAGAGAGAGAGAGAGAGAGAGAGAGAGAGACAACCGAACGGCCCTGAGATATGCTAGATGGGCGCGTAATGGTTCTTGGGTGCATGTGGCATCTGTGAGTTGGGGATCGACGA